CGAGAGGTTTTTCACTGCGAATGTTACGGACGTAATGGTGGCTCGTGACTTGGTGATTCTCAACTCCGAAATGAGATACGGTCGTTAAGCGTTGTTTACAACTTTTAGACACGCGGAGCATTTATAATTATCGCTTGGTCCTTGATAGATTAATGGAACTATCGAGAAGAAATGTCTAACATCGTTTCCAACGTTACTGACAGTCCTAAAATGATTCCATGAAAGTATCTGTACATTTGTCAACAAAGCTTTTACGTATATGTTTATTATTATATACTTGATTTTGAAACTTCATTGATATTGTAATATCATCGCGGTAATATCCGTTTTTATTATGATTATACTGATAAAATGTTTCTGAAAATACATACAGCAGTTGCAAGCATCTACTTTGCAGAAATTATAAAACTATTTAAACTAATTATATTATATTAATATTCGATGTTTGTTATATGCTTGAAACTCTCGTTAGATTGAAACATGTTAATATTTTGTTAAATACGTACGTTTGTAATAACAACTATATGTAGTTTCAAGTTGGTCTCAAACTTTACCAATATAATCTATGAAACTCTTATCGATGAAAAGTGACAAAATAAATACATAACATACATTTTTCTGTGAGCTTTTGTGAACCACAGTTTGAGAAACTTTTGAATTTTAAGAATACCTTTCCCGAAAGTGAATTTCGTTGGAAGGAGAACAGTTCATACTTTGTTCAACGATTGACATGCAGTGCATCAGGGAAACGTTGAGAAATCGTGAATAAAAATTCGAATAAAAGCGTCACTGGTTTTGGACATGTAATTCTCCCTGGAATCTTACGTAAGCGAAGAAACACTTTCAAAGAATCGCGCCGGTTGTTTGCATTCCTTTTCTTAATAACACACGCGAGTGTTATATCGTTGTATCACACAGTTGGCCAAACAATCTAAAAGATTCCGTTTCCGCCAACTGCGCGTACATGCGCAATTAATATCAACTTCTGACCAGTTAGACGCACCACACGCACAAGTACCTACGTGTTTTCAAATTATGCTCGTTTACAAAGAAATGATTGAAATCCTATAATCCCTATTCTATGTTACGCAAGACAACACACACAGCAATACGTTCCTACAATTGTTCAACCACTTTCGTGAACTGCTACAACCTACTCTCGTTGCAGCGTGAAAATTTCAAAATATCTCGCATTTATATTCATAGAAACTTCTTCCAACCGTTCGAATATTTCCCCGAGCCGCTATAAATCTTCCGTCGTTAATACGAAAAGCACTGTACACCATCAACCAGGCATAGGTTGGTACAAAAATGCATCTCCCGTACAAGAGTGCATCAGGTGATTTACCAGACAGCTGTTGCTTTGCATACGCGGCGAACGCCTAACGACCGATGATCCTGATTGACGACTGCATAAATCTCTGCAACGGTTCACACCTTTGTGGAATATGGTATACATATCTCGAACGTATCCGGTCATCGGAAGAATACTAATAGAGGATCGTCGGGAACGAACCGTCGAGTTACGTTGTTAGAAGCTTCGCTCGATGATAAATATTAATACTGCTTTTACCATTCACAACGTGTGCCTTACCCTTTTCTTTCTCTCTGTCTCTCTCTTTCTCTGTCGCGAAGAATCACGATTCTTACGAACGACGTCCGCGATCAGGGGGAGGGATTACATGCAAATAACGAGAACGATGTTGATACGTGTAATAACAATAAACACCGTGGCCGGTGGCCTACATTAGCGGCCAGTGCAACTAAGAGAGTATATCGTTTGCAGCAGTCACTACCCACTTCCAAGTAAGCAGCAAACAAAAGGACCGCGAATGGAAATGGCACTCGAGCAAATCGAGGATGAATGCGCGATTGGCCGTGGCCATAATAGGATCTCCCGACTATTTCGAGTGAATTTTGTCACGGTGGCTGCATTCCCCGCGCCTTTTCACGAAGGAAACGTAGGTATTTAATCTTCAGTATCGTACAACATGGGACAAGCTGTCCATAGATTGTACAGTTATTATTTCGCCATTGTGTTTCGTAATTATAACGATCACTGTTTCCCAGATTTTCAACTGCAATTAACTAAGAATCTCCTTTGAACGCGTAACATCGTACAAATTTGGAAGCTGTCCGCGCGTTGCGTAATTATTTCACAATTATTTCGTGCTTTATAATCGTAACGATCATTGTTTCCCAGGTTTTTAAACTAACAGGTCTCCTTCGAACGGAGAATCTTTTGCACGTATTAACATTCGTAAGTACTTGGACCGTTGACACAATTCACTTCCAATTTTCATGTTTCTTTACCTTTTCTAATAACAGATTTCGAACTGAAATCTCCCGAATTGAAATGATACAGATATATTCCTCGTTACTTCGTGTACAATGTACTTGACTTCATTTTGCTTTATAAAACTTGTAGATAACTTTAGAACGTGACTGGAAACTTTATTCATACCGATCAATATTATTCACTGTTTTCACGAACATCTTGGTAGCTATCCTTTTAAGATTTGTGACTGTGAAATATTTAAATTATTACTACTATTTAAGATACGCACAGTTTCATTAACTTTTCAAAAGTCAATTGTATTAAATGTAGTTTATAATTTTAATAAATTGGATATATTATTAAATTGGAGATTCTCTATTTCAAGTATAATATTCCATATGTATATCCGTGTTGTGTTCAAATACCAAATACTTAAGAACGTTATCTATGTAAAGGAAATTCTGATTATAGAGCGTTAACAGAAAATATTGCGCCGCGCGCGCGAGAGAGAGAGAGAGAGAGAGAGAGAGAGAACACTTGCATACTTTGCATACACACGCGCGTCGCGAGCGAAACTTTTCCTTTCGAGATGGAATTCGGAGCACGTGACCTTCGTAATTACTCGCTCCGAAATTGTAACACTAAACGTCGATACGTGTCACGTGGTTCTGCGATTTTGCAAATTCCCTCTCGGCCTTGACGACCGTCGAAACACCGCGATAATAGCTAATCGTCGATTCTTTCAACCAGCTTTATCACCGGTTTTACAAGCGACGTACACACACACACACACACACAACACACACAAAGAAACGATAGGTCGATCTTTCATTACAGAAAGACTTTCAAGACGAGTGATATTTGAAATTAAGAAACAATCAAATGCAATATACACGCGGATCTAAAAATTTGAGTACACGCTCTGTATGTGTGTGGTAAATTTTCTAATGATAGCGCTTTTTTTTTTTTTTAATGACAATAGTGATCCAAAGTACAATGATCGTGTCTGGTACGTTATCGTAAAAGATTGTAGTATAAGTACATGTGGCAAAAATTCAATTCAGCTATATTAAGCACATGATAAACATTAAAGATGTACAAGTCTCACTGTGAATGTCGAGGCTCACTGATAACTATATATTTTTAAATTTGTTACAAACTCAATCAATATAATTACGATGGTCGTGTCTCGCTAGAATGTTTGACCATGTGTCAAAGAGTTTCGTTACGACACGTACAAAAGAACGTTCGGACACTGTATGTAAAGAAAGTATTTCCAAGTGTTCCTACAAAAAAAAGAGAAAAAAAAAAAAAAAGAAAGAAAGAAAGAAGAAACAGAAGTTTCTATAAACTTGTTTGAATACTTTGTCGTAGCAACTATATTCCAATGTTAAATGGTTATCCGCACGCACGACTCAGTCCGACTCAGTTTCTTTGTACACCATAAAAGTTGAAAAACTCATTCAGGACACCGAGGAAGAACCGTCTTCGCAGATGATCCCCGCCAGCCTTGCTCACAGCTACCGAACGAACGTTTCCAGCTATTCACGATCTTTCAACTCTCTCCTTTTCTTTTTTCGACTGTTCCTTTAAAAGAGGCAACAGAAGAGGGAGGGAAAGAGAGACGTTGGTGTGGACGGAGGTCGTAAAAGAATATCGGTGCGCGAAGTCTCGACCTCGATCTTTCGCGGTAGGGGCACTTTCTTTTTCAGACAGGGCCCAGGGCCGGGTTATAAGGGTGTCCCAGGCCCTACTCGAAACCAGCTTCTCTCGCCCTCCCCCCGCCCCCCTCCTTTTTCGCCCCTAGAGTTTTTGAAATAGTTTCACGCTTGAAACTTATTTTCACCGTTGTTTTTGCGCTGCCCGAGTCTTGCTTCGAGCAGGCAATCGTCAATGTCGTTTCCAGAAGAGCGTGTTTCGACACGGGCAGACAAACAAAACAAAGCGCAACGGTTCGTGTCCATTCGAGAGTTGGTCTCGGAAATTGTTTCTTGAAAGCTGCTGCCTATTCCGATTGCGAGAGAATGTTAGGTTTCTGGCAGAATCGTACCGACGGTTTTCAATTGGAGACGGAGTAACAAAATGTACAAAATGTTTCGAGCAATATTTCACAGCTGTTTCAAAATTAACTTAACGGTGTGAGTGTCCACTCGAGCTGTGGACGACCATCGCGAGAATTTCACTCGAGAGTGTCTTTCCGTTTCTCCCCGCTGAGAGTGACTATTGGAGAGAACGGTTGGATTACTCGAGAATGGTCGAGCAGCTGTTTTCGAAATGACAAACAAGTTTCGAGAATGGAATCGCGAGTTTTCTTGAACAGAGATTCCCAAACGGACGCTCGTGAGAAAGAGCTGAGCAAGAGGGGTGGGAAAAGAGACAGAGGAACGAGATTGTAAACAATTTTAATTAACGGAGCAACGATGCGCGCGATGGAGATCGGCGACCTAGCGAGGACACGCGTAGGGGAAGAACGACCGCGGCATGTACTCCGGTTCCGAGTCGGAAGCATAGAGACGCGGTAACCTCGTTAGACAAAGGGACGAGAGGCGAACAGATAAAATAGTAGTAGACGAGACGAAGATATAACGAGGCGACGCGGAGGCGAAACGAAACGAAGCGAGACGAGACGAGACGAGACGAGACGAGACGAGACGAGACGAGGCGAGGCGAGGCGAAGAATGATGAAGGAAGCAAGGCAAAGAGAAGCAAAGACTGGACTCACCGTGCGAAAGGTTGTTCCTCGACCTCGTACAGCTCCTCGAGGGTCTGTTTCGAGAGAAGCCTCTCCAATCTCTGGGGCGTGGGAGCGAGATGCCCTGGGATGCTGGTAGTCTCGAACAAGCTGTCCGCCGTCATGGCCGCTGCTGTCCGGTCGACGGTACGTCAACTGAACGAAAAGCAAAATGATGCACTCGGGTAATTCCAAAACGATAAAAAAACAACAACTGTTTCTCGTCTTCGTCCGTGGTCGTACGACGAAGCGTCGCGACCACCAAGGTGGATGACCAGAGCAAGCCACACGAGCGGTAATCTTTCTCTCTCTCTCTCTTTCTCTGTGTTTCCCTCGTTGAGTCGAGCCACACGAAAAAGAAAGAAAAGGGAAGAAAGAAAGGAGAAAGAGATTTCACTTGCGAGCGCGAGTCACAGCCAGCGAGATGTGTTCCCAACGTGAATATCCTCCGCGTGCACACGTTAGAGAGGCGAATGAGGGGGGAAAAAAAAAACGACAAGAACAACAACAAGGGAAGGTGTTTTCTCTCTCTCTCTCTTTCTGCTTTTCTCTCGGTCACTGCGCGTTTACAACACGGACGTTTAACGGGGTTTGGCTCTTTACTCACGGTACAATAACCGCGCAAAACCAGAAAAAAAAAAGAAACCGAGCAAAACTAGATTCACCACGTCACTGCCGGTCGGTTAGACGCGCGCGTACGTTTCATCTTGCTGCACGTTCTCGCACGATGGTGGTCGGTTAGCGCGACGTCGTCGCCGAACGCACAAGTCTTAGCCCCCTTAGTGCACGCACCGATCGCGAAACGAAGCACGCGCTTCTATCCGTGCCGAGTGTTACCACGCGCAACCACTCTTCGCGATGGTTGACCAACAATTGAACCTTCCGCCGAAGCCTCGCGCGATTCCCTACCTCCCTCTACCCGATCCTCCGGCGCGTTCGCTATCTCCGAGAACGATGGTGGGAGTGCAGCGTATCCCCACTATTGAAAAGCGCGGTGACAGTACCCGAAGCGGGTACCGAGCGGAACCGAGACCGGCCGAGCCTGAACCGGTGGACTTACTCTTACACGCTGCTCCGAACGCGCGCGAGAGAGAGAGAGGGAGAGACGTGACAGGCATGCACCGACCGGCCACTTCCTCTTCTCTCTCTCCCTCTTCTCTCGGCCGTTTCTCGTACGTTCGCGTACACGCATTTCATCCCCGTGCGTGTCCCTTTCTTCCTCGTCAGCGTCCACCCCTTTGCAAACTGATCTCACGATTAATAAGTAATATCATTCGGTGCAACGAGATCGCAGCGACACCGCGCGAGCTGCTCGCCGGCGGCGAGTGATTTCAATGCCGTGCTTTTCGGGTAGAAAACTCGGTTCAGCCGAGGTCTGCAGGTGCTACAAGTGATTTCTGTTGATTTCTTAGTCCCACAGGAGAAGGATCGAGAAGTGTCGCGGTTTGGCAGAACGTTGTATAAACACGATAATTTTTTGATGTATTTTTAGGATCTCCTCTTGGTTGCAGTGTTTAAAATGGATGAAGTAAGATTTGACAATGCAAATCCACTGAAGAAGTATATATATATATATATATATATCGATCGATTTTGACCTCTTAACACTTTATCGACCGGTAGCCTATTTATCGGCTTTTCGATTCCTAACGCTCTTCGACCGGTAGCCTATTTATCGGCTTTTCGATTCCTAACGCTCTTCGACCGGTAGCCTATTTATCGGCTTTTCGATTGCTTTTGTTACGAGAGATACCACACTCTAAATAAATATTAAAAAATTTAATTACTGTTACCTTGAATTTATTTCATGAATGTAAGTTAAAAAGGCAATAAATTGTATAAAACAAATACAAAATAAAGTATAAATATCAATAAAATTCCATTACTTTAAAACAAAAGGAATAAGCACAACACAATGCATAGTGAAAATTTAGCCGGTACTGGGAGTAAATTCGGGCGCGACTAAGCCGGTACTTACTGAGTGGCAGCCTCAACCACGACCGGTCGATAAAGTGTTAATCGTGTATATTTGTTAAATCTACTTACTGAAAGGTTGAATTGAATCGTAACAAAGTGGCAGGTTGGTTTCTGAACAATTTCAACAATTTCATCGCACAAATTCATTTAATATCATCGATAAAACTCAAACGAGCTGGAGAAGAACTAAATTCACGTTATGTCACGAAGCATCTTTCGAATTTGTTAAAACCGTCGAGGCTGAGATTTCTCTTCCTAATCTCCAAACAAACCTCATGTCAAAGGAACGTCCTTATCTTTCAACGTCCTAACTCGATAACAAAAAGAAGAAAGGAAAACGACACATGGCAAAGTAACATGCCCTACCGATGTGCAGTGAAATGGCTCGTGCTACGCGCCAAAGCAGGTCAAAACGACCCGGTTGGTTCTCTTCTTCATACGAGGGTTAACGAGCTAGCAAAGGCATCGACGACGACGCCGAGTAAACCGAACGGCTTATACGACCGAGCGAGTAAACGGAACTCACCTTGGGCTAGCGAAGAAACGCGGCGAGCTAGGGGGAGAGCTTGTAAAGCGTGCCAGGATCTTGTCAACTACCGTACATGATTATGGCGACCGGGCATGAATAATTGAATGCATAATTTATCGATTTCGCGGCGAAAGAGCCAGCAACCAGCCAGAGAAAGGAGAGGGGCCGCCGCCGCCGCTGCCGCCGCGAGTCGCGGCTATACGCGCCTCTGCATTACAGATCTCCTAATAAGTCGGTGCAGCTTCCAATGCCGCCGATAAATCAGCTAATCTCGAATAAGGATAACCGTTGTCTCGGGCGATCCAACTATGACGTGGTACGATCCCCTCCCTCCCCTTTCGTGCCGTACTCCGATCGAGTCTCGCACCGCCAGACATCGGTGCAATTGGAAATCGAGTTAATTTAATGGAATTCGTTTAATCGAATTAACGCGTTCTCTCTGCTACGGCTGTCGTTGGCGCGCGTGAGCGACAGTGTTCTTTAGCCACGCATCGTGTCACTCATAATAAATATACCTCGAGTGACAGTGAATTATGCATTTACCGCGTCCCTCGTGCTTTCTTCGTCGTAGATGAATCTGCCATTAATAATTCTGCCACCAGAAGGTTTGATTTGGGTTTAAACTAAGAGGAGAAAACTAAAATAGCTTAGAAACATCAGTTGCAGCAGAACTTCTAACTTTGTCTGTATTTGTCAGAAGACGAACAATTTACTTTTCGTTGTTCTTGTTCGAACAGAGTGGATGTAACTAACGAAAGCTTAGTCAGTCTAGAATTAATTAAAACTTCGCTTCAATAAATGGAGTTCGTACAATTCGCTTCGTACAAATAATATACAGGTGGACCATGACCAAATTAAATTATTCTATCGCTGATGAACCGGTTGAAAAGAATTCCATTTTAAATAATAGCACTGTACACAATTTAAACAATCGCACGGTATTTTCTTTAGATACTTTATAATGTCGAAAACTTTATTAAACGTCATCGTTGATAACCAACAATGTCGAATAATTCAAGATGATCACGTTTAAAATTTCTACCCCAATTTTCACCTCAAAGCACGAAGATGAGATCAAGAGAAAAGTGGATGAAACGAAGATACTGAGGAAAAGTGAAAAAAATGTGCGAAAAATTCAGTTAGACGCGAAGAGAACGAAGCTAACAAATGAGCTTCTCGCATAGTTGCAAGCGCCACTAGAACGAATTCCACCGAAGGCTACGTAACATCCTATTAAGAAATTTGACCAGACGAACGAGCAGCTAACCGAACGCGTTTCTTAACAGGATCTTGCGAAACGGGCGGACGAGTTTCTCAATCGTGAATCTCTATCTGGCGCTTTCGATGAGTCTACCTGACGCAATTAATGCATACCGTCGAAATAATGTTTCCGTTTAAATTAAATTGACCTGCGAAATACGGCCCCCATCGAGAATGTGTCTGGTAATACCAGATCCAAGTAGGTTACAGGACAGCAAGCGAGTTTCGTGCTGCTCAATAGACTCTCGGTGGAAGGAATTGCTTTTCCCTCGGCTTGTAGAATTGTAAATCCTTCTAGATTTCGACTGGCATATTTTCAAAAAGACAACTGTTGAATATCCCTTTCGAGTACGAACGCACATCCCCTGATTCGTTAACTCTGATTTTCTGTTAACGAAAGAAACAATCAAACGATTTTGCAACATCTTCATTGGACATAAAAGATAATTGACTTTTAAATTGAAGCAACTTCGGCAGAATGACTCCACTTCGACTCCAGCGACGACGTTTACCTCGAAATATCGTTTTCTTTCCGCGGTCTTTAAATCATTCCGTCAAAATGCAAACGACTCAATGATTCTCTTCAGTTGTTGGATAATTGAAGCAACGTAGGAGAGTGTTAACTCTTCCATAATATGGTAAAGTGACGAAGAATTCTGGACGAACTGTTTCAATCTAGATTGAAACGACAAGTTTCTCTCTTCAATTGCCGAAATTTTGTTCGTGTTTCTAATATAAAATGGACAATTGCAGAGTGTATTGGATCTAACGGAGTAACGTGCATTGTATAAGTATTATATGTGGTGTTCTCGTTAATGAATCATGAGAAAGACGAAGAAATCAAGATATGTACGATATGTACATAAAATTCACGCACTCGGTGAATTTTCGAGAAAATGGCCCCAACATTGAAGCCACGTTAACAAGATATCGGCAAGGATGAGCGAGGATGAGGCGTATTTCATCATCGTATTGTACATCTCGTCGATGATGCGAGACTGATTCATCGCGAGCAACCAGTTTCCTAGGATAGCAGTCGTAATCGATGATCCTGCACACGCTGCATCATCGAGTCGAATGGACTAAAGCGCCATTTCCTTCCCGATGACCATTTCACGGACGCTCGCATCCATTAAATACCGCCAGCGACAGTCAACGACTGTCCGTCTGCAACGATGATTGGCTCCAAGTTGAAATCAACGCGTTTAATCTATAGAAGAAGAAAAAGGCTACCTCGAGCACGATCGCGATCGGAAATAATGTTTTTTTTTACTCTCGCGCTTTCTCATCGTGGAACGCGGGTAATTAATATCGAGCACAGTCGATGTTGACGATCAAACGAGAGAGTGTCTCTCCTCATTTCACTCGTGACACGTCGATATTTTCGACAGCGGATCGAGATGCACGTTTCTCTTGGAATGTGAGAAAAATACGTGTAACGCGTTGCACGACGATAATCTGCCACGCGATCTGGATACAAAGGCGCGAGAAAGAGAGAGAGAGAGAGAGAGAGAGAGAGAGAGAGGGGGAGACAGACAGACTCGTTTCTCGCTCCTTAATTCATCGTTGCGCGATTTGCACCGAGTTTTCTCAAGGATTATTTGGCACGCGATCCCACGCGCGCCGGCTAAGGACAACGAACGCGCTCGGAGATCGGTGGAGAAGCAACGTACCCAAAGTGCACGTAATCGTTCGAAAGTATCGGGATTTTAGATTACTGTGAACGCTGGAAAAATTGGGATCCAAATAAATATTTGTCCCGAGTTGGGTATAAAATATTACAAGTATTTCATTTCAATTTAATGTTCAATCACAAACTTTTTTTCTCGATCTCTGAAGCTGACTTTAATTCAGTTCAATCGAGCTTTGGAACTTTATTCAAGTTCCAATTTCTGAAAAATGCCTGAAAATATTCGTAGTCTGCCAACAAAACACCTCCAGCGAGTTTCTTCGACTCTTTGAAGTGAGGAGTATATCTCACTTAGGGATGTGCGGGTACCCGAAATTATGGGACCCGATTGTTCGGGTCGGGCTTACACAAAGACGGGCTGGTTCGGACGGGTAGCCCGACGATTTCGAATCGAGTTGGAAAAAGTTCAAGGGGGATAGGATTAGAGTTGGGCATT